TCGATGCTAATGCAGTACGCCACAGGATGTTTTTGTGCTGGTCAAGGGCAGTCAAGTCTGAGGAGAACCAGGGGCTATATCTGTTCTTAGTTCAGAATTTTTTGAATGGGGCATGCATATTTAAGATTGAGAGGAAAGCACTTTTAAAGAACAACCAGGCATCCTCTACTGATGGAATGAGATCGATATCCATCCAGGATACCTGGGCCAGGTCAATTAGGAAGGCCTGCTCACTAAAGTGTTTTAGGGAGCGTTTGACAGTGATGAGGGGTGGTCGTTTGACCACGGACCCGTTACGGACGCAGGCAATAAGGCAGTGATCACTGAGATCCTGCGGAGGTGTATTTAGAGGGTAAGTTAGTCAGGATGATATCTATGAGGGTGCCCATGTTTACGGATTTAGGGTTGTACCTGGTAGGTTCCTCATTTGTGTGAGATTGAGGGCATCTAGTTTGGATTGTAGGATGGGGTGTTAAGCATATCAGCCTTCAACTTCCTACAATGAGAGGCGGCAGTCTTTCTCCCCTGTTTTTGCCTCACTGGATCAATGTTTACTTTTTCTGCCCAAGTTCCCAAAAGTATTTGGCAGTTGGCGTGTATTTGACGTGCGTACACTTAAGCCCTAAAGCTTAGGTTTACGCACTAACAACAGATAAAAATAATGAAAGCCTTTAGATATGAGTTGCACAATAATTATACATTTATGGATTTTTTTATGCATTGTTTTCACTTTATTAAACATGCCCGCCACCTACCCGCCCTTCATCCACACAATATTTGATTACCCTAAACCCACCCACCCCGCGGATATAACAGCGGGGACTGTGGGTTATGAGTCAACCCGCCCATCATGAAAAGCTGCCACTATTAGGACTAATATCAGAGCAGGTTTATGGATAGAAGGTTGTCAAATGGCACCTCATGGCCGGGGTAAGGGAATTGAGTTTGGACATTGGACGGGGCAGATGGAATACTGCATGCTTCCAAGAGTAGCTAATAAAAGACAGTGTCACTTTTGACAGATGGGGCACTATGTTCACTGTCACTCGAGCTTTGCTGATCGGCACCTTAGTAGCGTCACTGAGAAGTGCGGCCATTACACTGGCATTACATTGCTCTCCTGCAGCTCCATTTTCACACCCTTGCTCACACACCTAATCCCATGCCCTGGCCAATTTAGTATCAAATACTAAATTGCCCTGTAGCCTGGACAGTGGACACCCTAAAGCAGGGGTAGGCAACTAGATTCTGCCGGGGCCGATTTTTGTCGGAGCAGATGGTCGGGGACACAGAACACAATTAAAATGTACACTTCAAATTGACCACAACTAAGCCCAAAAAGAGATTGTAATTGAAAATAACAATAATTTCAAACCTTGATTACATTGAGACACGATCATATGATTTTTTTCATTAGTAGGAATACTTGGGAACAGATTTTCTAAATTAAACACATTTTTTTGCTGAATTCCTGGTGATTTGACAGTCTTTTTCGACCAGAAACTAAAATCCCCCCCAAAACTTTGGGCGGCCCAAAAAAATCATCTAAGACTGTAACACATATGAGATCCTTATCAGGTTGCCTAGTAGGCCTACATGTTCGAGGTTATTGCACATTACATTAGCACATAAGCAGAAATAAAGTGTTCTAAGAAACTAGTTTCACTACCCCCGCAATAACATCTGCTAAATTATGTGTATGTGACCAATAAAATTTGATTTGATTTGGTTAAACAATCAATTTTATGCAGTCCAGTGCATCAGTGCTTTGCATTGATAAATAAACAAAGCAGTAACACTGTAACAATGTCATTACAGAATTATACCTTTTTACAAATACACTTTTGCTTCTTCCCTCGCTGTAAAAATCAAATAGCAAATAGCAAAGTGCTAGAGCTTTATATATCGAGCAAATATATAGAGAGAGCATTTCCTATTGGGGCTATTTGCTATGAATTGCCATATGGCACAACATGACAAAATCATAATTTTTAATATCTGTGTTTCAGGTAAACTTTTACATTTAAGCCTGATAGTAGCATAATTATAGTCAACAAAGAAAATGAATAGCAAAACAAAACATACCTCAGAGAGACAGATAGAGAGAAAGGGTTCATACAATAATATGTGGCGCAGGAAAAGACAAGGCTCCAGAGGGAGGGGGGTAAATGGATTTATTTCATCTCGAGTTTCCCACATCCTGCGAACGACTAAAAACGCGGCCACTTAATTTGATAGAATGCATGGTATGCGGCTATTTTACATAGCGCTTTAGTGTGGAGTAGACAGACGTGTATTGTATTGTTCACCAATTCAAATAAAAACGAATTAGTTCACAACTCGAATAGGCATAGGCCTACTCTTCAGTGTCCTAATGTGAAAATAATAGGCAGCCTATAGCAGGGGCTAAAACCATAGATCCAAGTTCTTGATGAACTGATACAAAAAGGGCTAGGCCTACATTGTATCCCTGCGACAGTAGACATCTTTGATACATTTATGATACGTTTTTGTAAAGTTAGACCTAAAATTCTATTGAAATCTTGCAGCATAGCATGACATTAGGATAACATTATAATCCATAATGCATATAGGCTAAACTCTGGAATAGCCTATTTACAGATTACAAAAAACAAGCCAGACACGTCACAGACACCAACGCCGCCCAACCGGACAAGCTAAATACTTTATTCTCACGCTTCGAGCATAACGACTCTGAGCTGCCGAGGATAGCCCTTTAGGACAACGAGGGCTATGTGCTTACGGTCTCCACGGAAGACGTACTTATGTAAGTCATTCAAATGTGTTAACACTCGCAAGGCTGCCGGCCCAGACGGCATCCCTAGCCACGCCCTTAGAGCATGTGCAGACCAACTAGCTGTTGTGTTTTCTGACATTTTACATCTCTCACTAGCTCAGGCCGTTATCCCCACCTGCTTCAAGATGTTCACTATCATCCCCATGCCCAAGAAAGGGAAAGTAACTGAACTGAATGACTACCGACCCGTAGCACTCCCTTCCGTCATCATGAAGTGCTTCGAGAGGTTAGTCAATGACCACATCACCTCCTCCCTCCCTGACACACTCGACCTTCTCCAATTTGCCTACCGCCCCGACAGAGCCACAGACGACGCAATCGCCATTGCACTGCACACTGCCCTCACCCACCTGGACAAAAGGAATGCATATGTGAGGATGCTGTTCATCGACTACAGCTCGGCCTTCAATAGCATAGTGCCCTCTAAACTCACCACAAAGCTCACGGCCCTGGAACAGAACTCCTCCCTATGCAACTGGATCCTGGACTTCCTGACGTCCACCCCCAGGGGGTGATGGTAGGCAATATTACCTCCTCCACACTGATCCTCAACACGGGGGCCTCACAAGGGTGCGTCCTCAGTCCCCTCCTGTACTCCCTGTATACCACAACTGCGTGGCCTCACACAGGTCTAACTCCATTATGAAGTTTGCTGACGCCACGACAGTAGTAGGCCTGATTACCAACAACGATGAGACGGCCTACTGGGAGGAGGTAGGCACTCTGATGGTGTGGTGCCAGGTAAACAACCTCTCCCTCAACATCAGCAAAACAAAGGAGCTGATTATGTACTTCAGGAGGAACCAGGCTGGGCATGCCCCCATCCTCATCAACAGGGCCGCATCTCCGAGGAGCTGAAATGGTCAAACCACACGGACACCGTGGTGAAGAAGGCACGACAGCGACTCAGGAGGCTGAAGAAATTTGGCCTGTCCTCGAGTGCCCTCACAGTGTGCTACAGGAGCACCATGGAGCACCATGGAGAGCATCACAGCCTGGTACGGCAACTCCACCACCACTGACCGCAAGGCGCTACACAGGGTGGTACACTCAGCTGAATGCACCATTAGGTGCACATTGTCTGCCCTCCAGGACACCTACAACACCAGGTGTCGCAGGAAGGCCAAGAAGATCATCTGGGACCCCAGCTACCGAGCCACGGACTGTTCTCCCCGCTTTCATCAGATGCGGGCAGTATAGGAGCATCATGGAAAAACCTGAAAGACTGGCCAATAGCTTCTACCCCCAGACCATCAGGCTGCTGACTAGCCACCACTAGTCAGCTACATACCCCCCCCCCCCCCCCCCCCCCTCACCTTGCTGCTCCCCCATGGACCCCCCCCCCTCCCCCCATCTTCAACAGAGAATTACCCTGCCCCGACCAAATGCACATTTTATAATTTAGCCACCACTAGACAGCTACCTGCCCCCCCAAAGGACATTTTCCCTGTCTTTTTATTCTTATTTTTTTTGTTTCATTCTTCCCTTTGACCTGGCTGTTGGAGCTCAGAGCTGTACCGTGCATTTACATCTGCAACTCTGTGCATGTTACTAATAAACTCTCTAAGTCTCTCTAAATCTAATTTACAGTAGCCAAAATCGGCTATTTCCTATAATGTAAACGGCAGTTCATTTTATATTTTGTTAAATTTTTTATAAACTATATTGCACCAAAGACTGAAGCATGAAACAATATAATACGTTGCTCAGTTGGTAGAGCATGGTGTTTGCAACGCCATGGTTGTGGGTTCGATTCCCACAGGGGGCCAGTATTAAAAATAAATAATGTATGCACTCACTAACTGTAAGTCGCTCTGGATAAGAGCGTCTGCTAAATGACTAAAATGTAAATGTAAATGTAACAGCAAGTAATCACGCATTCACGTGCAAACTGCCTCTCTCATGCAAGAGGGTAGCTAGCCCCACCTAGATCTTGAATTTGCATTTACTCTTAAACTGCAGGAAAAATGTTGCTTCTTTTGGCGCGTTTTAATTCCCGCCACCGCTGGTCTAGCCGGTTACACTCTATTCTTTATTTTTATTCTATGACTGACGTGAGTTTGTATGGTCTATAATGGTTACCATTGGTGGAGAATGCGTGGTGGGCGGAGAAAATAATGACGATAGACCTTGTGGTGGCTACTCCCATTTACTATGGATATATATTTGTCCTTCCCCTGCCCTTACTCAAATTCAAAGAGCCGGTGTCCTAGCAAAACGTTAGGAGCTGTTTTTCTTTTAATTTTACAATTTGGCTTACTGTTTACAAGTCATTGTACAGTATATCAATAGTCATATTGTATCATTAGGCTAATCGATATTTCAACTCACTGGATACGGAGGCGTTTACGTTTAAGGACCAAATAACGAGTCTTCGCAAGATCCGGATGAGACGAGGATTGGTGCCGCATTTTGTCCTACAGCAACGTGGGTCACGCGCCAGATATAGTGGAACTAGATCCCACATCGGAATATTTGTAGAATAAATCTTCAATTTCGTGGATTACAGGAATGCTGCTGTCTAAATTAAACTCGTTCGCTCATATCTCCACCGTTGATATGCCGGCGAAAATCCAGCTTCAAGTTCACCAAGGTTAGATGACGCTTGTCTTGATAATGGTGGTTCGCTATTAGCTAACGAGTAACATGCTATCTTGCTACTAGGCTAGCAAAACTGTAGTTATCTATTTTACGTAATCTACAGTAACCGTTTCCCTATTCGGTTATTTCCACACTTTGCATTCAACCATGTAACATAACACTAATTATGTGGAAGAGTTGTATTAATCGTATGTTCTTGTATATTTACAGGGAAGGAGAGGGAGCCTTTTGAGAAGCTTTACCAGGTCGGCTCTGTGCTGGGAAGTGGCGGTTTTGGGACGGTGTATTCTGGCACAAGAATTTCAGATGGAGCACTGGTTAGTATTTCTTACATTATATTGCCAACAGTCGCATTCTTTAAAAATATTTATAAATACAAGTTGGCTAATCAATTAATATATTTGCATATTTTCTCCTCTCTAATATCAGGTGTAATTGAACTGATCATGTTTTCCGCACACAGGTTGCTGTCAAACATGTGGCCAAGGATCGGGTCTCCGAGTGGGGAGAGCTGGTAAGGATGGTTTTGGTTGTGCATTTTAGTTTAAGGACATTTATAATTTTAGTTTAAGGACATTTCATAGTATTTTGTTGTCCAGGGGACTGTGGATCTGTCTCCATTCGTACTTTAGTTAGTCGCGTGCGATATCTCAGACAGCACTGGTACGATTTTAACAAAACGGGTGAATGATGCATATTGCCATAGAGATCTGGCACCTACAAAATTACACTGATTGGCCCAAGGCGGGAGCTATAGTAATTAACAGAAATGTTAGTCACACGACATATCACAATTGGCCCAAGAGGGGGGCGCTGCATCATTCGTGGGGGGACGACATGTGTATTATTGCCTTCACACAATTGGCGGCTGAAATTAACCAGATTTCAATTTTATTTTTAGCCCAATGGCTCTCGTGTCCCCATGGAGATTCTACTCATGAAGAAAGTTGGAAATGGAGCTCGGGGCGTGATAAAGATGCTGGACTGGTATGAGCGACCTGACAGCTTTATTATTGTCATGGAACGATCGGAGAAGGTCAAGGACCTTTTTGATTTCATCACTGAGAAAGGTGCCTTATCAGAGGAGCTGGCAAATAACTTTTTCCGTCAGGTTCTTGAAGCCGTTCGACACTGCCACAACTGTGGGGTTGTACACAGGGACATCAAAGATGAAAACATCCTCATTGATCTTCGGACAGGCGAAATTAAGCTTATTGACTTCGGATCCGGGGCATTGCTCAAAGACACTGTTTACACCGACTTCGACGGTAAGCATCCTCATTGATATACTCTAACCATAGTCCATTTTAGTGGTTAGTGAATGTGTTGATTTTGGCGCCACCCTTTGGAGGGAAAGTGCATTTTTACAACTCGAAGTTTGTAAACATTGTCACATGTCAGGCTCTCCTCCCACCTCACTCTCACACAGACCTACTGTTATGCTCACTGGCGCTTGACCTCAATAGAAGGCACGCAGTGATTATTTATAATTGTTTAATCCATGTTATCACAGATGTATTAAATCAGTACTTAATGTTTATTTTTGTGTCCATTTCTTAAGCATTCTGTGTATTTCTTCATAGAAATTGACCACATCATTGAATTTAACCATTATTGTTATTTCTCTATCAACAGGCACTAGAGTGTACAGTCCACCTGAATGGATCAAATACCATCGGTACCATGGGCGGTCTGCCACAGTTTGGTCTCTGGGTGTCCTGCTGTATGATATGGTGTGTGGAGACATTCCCTTCGAGCAGGACGAGGAGATTGTACAAGGCCAGGTGCTCTTCAGACGAAGAATCTCCACAGGTGAGCCCCAATAACTTAAACAAAACATCCTCACACCTAATAAGCTACACCAGTGGAATATATTGCTCATGTATTAGTCATTGGGTGTCCAGTCTAAGCACTGACTAACCATTATCCCCATTCTTCTTCCAGAGTGCCAGCAGTTGATCAAGTTGTGCCTGTCCCTGAGGCCTGCTGAGAGGCCATCGTTTGAGGACATCATCAATCACCCATGGATGCAGAGCACAGTATCCCCAGCAGAGCAGAGCACAGAGATCAGACTGCACAGCATCAGCCACGAGCCTGCTGCTTTCACCACCGTGGTGGCCCAATGACTGTCACTGCACTGACAGAGACTAGTAGTACACAGAGGACTGACGTGGCTGTACACCAAAGACAATATGGACTATACAGAAGGAAGTTACAGATTTTATTTAAATATCTCCCTCTTTCTCTTGTGGCCAGACCCCACCTGTTCACTCTCCTTTTGGACTTCATGAAAACCAAACATCCTTAATGGCTACTTAATTGGACACTGTAATATCAAAAGCTATTCTCACCCCTACGAAGGACTTGCTCTGTAATATTGGCTGTGGTGTGAGAGTATGTACACCAGAAAGGACAAAGTCCATCCCTATTCATGTGATTGTTCTGCTGAAGGTATGAACAAGTGGACAGTCTTTTACATAGCTAGCTACCAACCAGACACTGTACTCTGCCCTGCCTCACTGATGAGTGGGTGTCAGAGGAAGCAAAGAGGAGCAAATCGAAGTGCCTTCGGTGTGTCAGATTGTTGGGGACCCTGGAAATACTTGAATTTCATGAAGCCATCATATCACTTCTTTTTTTTTCTGCTTTTGTCTTATAGGACTAGATCAGTAAAGCCTATGCCATTTTCCAATGTCAACAGCAGCCAGAGAACCTCCTATAGTACACACAAACCTGTGCAAACAAAAACCGGAAGACTTTCCTGCATCCACCTCCGAGCTTTTAACGCCGGTCTACACACAACTACCACTCACCTAGACCTGAATGCACACTGCAATGCAAAGCACCACACTAAAATATTAAATGTTCTGCTTTTTTGTTTGCGTAAACATGTATCTGTCACCTCACAGGCTAGGAATAAGGCTATGGTGAATAATATTTATGTGTGATTTCTCTCACTCGAGCTATGTGGAATTATTTATTTATTTATAGAGAATTTCGGCTGTATATTTCATTCCACAGTTGTTGAAGGGCCCACAGATTATTTAAATTTATTTTGACCATATTTATGGCTTGAAATCTTCTGAGCAGATGTTTGTGTATATATGTGTAAATAACCTTCAAAGCTCTTCCATTTTAATGTATGTTGAAAGTCTACTGATGGTAACTGTTTTTGTCTGCTGTTGATTTGGATGAATTGACATTGTTCTGAGTAAGCAAGTGTGTGTCATACATCAACATTGTTTTCACCTCTAGTTGCATGATTGCGGCTTGGATTGCTTTGTTTTCATCCATATTAGAATTGTAAATTATATTAACTATTTTTATACGATTTCAATAAATATTTTTTTAACCTTGACTTTTGACCCAGTTTTACTTCAGGAGATCATGTCTACCATGAACCTGGTATTTGAACTACAAACACAAGTGAAAGAATAGCTTAAAACCACAATCATATTTCAGATGTGTATTAGATTGACATCAATGAATAACAAGAGAAGTTTCCACCACTGCTCCACACAGCACCTGCTCAGAGATAACATAGCTCAACTCTCTTTCGTGCGTAAGAAGGGGGGTGTAGACCATTACCATATGTCAAAGTTGACAAGGACAAAAGCCGACAAACATACGCACATCCAGGTACATTCCGCAGGTGCTGGAGTTGTAGGCAAACCACACCTGTCATACAGTGAGGGAAAAAAGTATTTGATCCCCTGCTGATTTTGTACGTTTGCCCACTGACAAAGACATGATCAGTCTATCATTTTAATGGTAGGTTTATTTGAACAGTGAGAGACAGAATAACAACAACAAAATCCAGAAAAACGCATGTCAAAAATGTTCTCAATTGATTTGCATTTTAATGAGAGAAATAAGTATTTGACCCCTCTGCAAAACATGACTTAGTACTTGGTGGCAAAACCCTTGTTGGCAATCACAGAGGTCAGACGTTTCTTGTAGTTGGCCACCAGGTTTGCACACATCTCAGGAGGGATTTTGTTCCACTCCTCTTTGCAGATCTTCTCCAAGTCATTAAGGTTTGGAGCCTGACGTTTGGCAACTCGAACGTTCAGCTCCCTCCACAGATTTTCTATGGGATTAAGGTTTGGAGACTGGCTAGGCCACTCCAGGACCTTAATGTGCTCCTTCTTGAGCCACTCCTTTGTTGCCTTGGCTATGTGTTTTGTGTCATTGTCATGCTGGAATACCCATCTACGACCCATTTTCAATGCCCTGGCTGAGGGAAGGAGGCTCTCACCCAAGATTTGACAGTACATGGCCCCGTCCATCGTCCCTTTGATGCAGTGAAGTTGTCCTGTCCCCTTAGCAGAAAAACACCCCCAAAGCATAATGTTTCCACCTCCATGTTTGACGGTGGGGATGGTGTTCTTGGGGTCATAGGCAGCATTCCTCCTCCTCCAAATACGGCGAGTTGAGTTGATGCCAAAGAGCTCGATTTTGGTCTCATCTGACCACAACACTTTCACCCAGTTCTCCTCTGAATCATTCAGATGTTCATTGGCAAACTTCAGACGGGCCTGTATATGTGCTTTCTTGAGCAGGGGGACCTTGCGGGCGCTGCAGGATTTCAGTCCTTCACGGCATAGTGTGTTACCAATTGTTTTCTTGGTGACTATGGTCCCAGCTGCCTTGAGATCATTGACAAGATCCTCCCGTGTAGTTCTGGGCTGATTCCTCACCGTTCTCATGATCATTGCAACTCCACGAGGTAAGATCTTGCATGGAGCCCCAGGCCGAGGGAGATTGACAGTTATTTTGTGTTTCTTGCATTTGCGAATAATCGCACCAACTGTTGTCACCTTCTCACCAAGCTGCTTGGCGATGGTCTTGTAGCCCATTCCAGCCTTGTGTAGGTCTACAATCTTGTCCCTGACATCCTTGGAGAGCTCTTTGGTCTTGGCCATGGTGGAGAGTTTGGAATCTGATTGATTGATTGCTTCTGTGGACAGGTGTCTTTTATACAGGTAACAAACTGAGATTAGGAGCACTCCCTTTAAGTGTGTGCTCCTAATCTCAGCTCATTACCTGTATAAAAGACACCTGGGAGCCAGAAATCTTTCTGATTGAAAGGGGGTTAAATACTTATTTCCCTCATTAAAATGCAAATCAATTTATAACATTTTTGACATGCATTTTTCTGGATTTTGTTGTTGTTATTCTGTCTCTCACTGTTCAAATAAACCTCCTATTAAAATTATAGACGGATCATTTCTTTGTCAGTGGGCAAACGTACAAAATCAGCAGGGGATCAAATATTTTTTTCCCTCACTATATATACTCTCCCCAAAATTCACAAGAGCACGACGCCATGCAGGCCCATTGTGAGTACTAACAGATCTCTGACAGAATGTCTCTACCTTTGTAGACTATGTTGTGAAACCCTGGGCGATCTCCCTCCCCACATATACCAGAGACTATTGATTTTATTAATCTTTTGAAATCTGTGGACCATATACATTTGACATTTTAGTCATTTAGCAGACGCTCTTATCCAGAGCGACTTACAGTTAGTGAGTGCATACATCTATTTTTTCTTCATACTTTCATATACCTGTAAATTCTGTGTACTTTTGATGTTACCAGTCTATATACTAACATCCCCCATCAGGGTGGCCTAGAGGCCCTCATGTTCTACCTAAATGAACGTCCCCCTAATGCTCTTCCCAGCACCAATTGTATTGTGGACCTGGCTGAACTGTTACTAACCTCCAACTATTTTCTCTTCAGAGGAGACTTTTTCCTCCAGACCAAAGGGACAGCGATTGGGAGCACTATGGCTCCTAATTATGCTAACCTATATCTAGGAATGTTTGTAAAACAGGTGGTGCTGAATCCAGACCTCAACCCCTTTCTCTCCTAATCTCCTATCTCCTATATTTGGATGACATTTTCGGGATCTATAAAGGGACCCAGGAAGAACTCTTGGAATTCCATGCCTATCTAAACTCTATGAATGAGCACCTTCATTTCACCATTAACTATGACCTATCCCAAATCAGTTTTCTTGATGTGATGGTTATTAAGCTCCCTCTCTACAGATCCCTATAGGAAACCTACGGACAGGAACACCCTCCTTAGAGGTGAAAGCTTTCATCCACGTCCAGTTATTAAAAGTCTCCCTGTAATTCAATTCAGCCGCATCAGAAGAATATGCGGCTCTGATGCTTCTTACCAGAAACAGACCACGGACCTCACACAAAGGTTTAAGGAAAGGGGGTACAAAGACAATTGGGTAAAACATGTCAATGATCATTTTGAAGGACTAACACAGTTGAAAAGCATTCAACCAAAAGTTAAAGAAAAAGCAGAACATGTCCCCTCGTGCTTCACCCAATACTCACCATTGGGGAAGGCATTTAAAGACATTATCAGGAAGCACTGGTACATTATTGATACTGACCCACAATTGAAACCCATCTTTAAATATCCCCCATGTATGGTCTTTAAAATACCCCCAAACATGAGAGACATTGTGGTCAAATCTGATTATCCACCAGAGAAAAGGGAAACTTTCTTGGAGAAGGTTCCGAAGGGTAATTACAAATGTGGCCAATGTGGTCAATGCAGTTTCACGTACAAATGTGAGGCCTGATTACCTGCATGTCCACCAATGTTGTTTACATATTGAAATGTCCTTGTGGTCTGTCTTACATAGGGAAAACCCGTAGAAGCCTTAAGAGCCGGATCAGTGAGCACCGCAGCAATATACGGACAGGTGAGACAAAAAAACAGGTTGCTGTTTATTTTGTACAAGCTGGGCATCCTATTAGTTCGCTGAAATACATTGGAATAGAAATGGTCAAGATGTCACACAGGGGAGGGGACATTGAGAGGAAGCTTCTTCAAAGGGAATCTTTCTGGATCCACTGGCTCAACACACTGTCTCCTCTTGGCCATAACGAGGAGTTTTTATAGTTTCAAAATGTCAAAATGATTGTGTTTTTTTTAAATCCTAATTGAATATTATGTGTATATATATTACTGTAAATATTGATCACATTGCTTGTGTATGATCATATATTTTGATACATTGAATGTTAATATTATGAACCTATGTTATATATTTTTACCTCCCGTTTCAGGAAGTGATGTCACTGAGTACTGCCCCTATATATAGGACCTGCCACCCCCACCTGGGATATGGATGCCTGATGAAGACCTAAAGGTCGAAATGTTGTTATAAATAAAATCACCTGGGAGCATGAGCAGCAGTGTGCAAAGTTGACAAGGAGACATTGTCCAGATTTCATTAGTCTTTTTATAAGTCAAGCTAAAAAACATTGATTTATGTTCTTATGGGTTTATCTAGAAAGCAGGTTATGTTTAATAAAAGGCATTATACCGCGGGGGTCCTGGCCTCAGTCTGCAAATCTGTTATCAGAACTTGACTATCTTCATCTCAGAAGGCAAAGTAGCTGCATTTATGAAGGTCTAGTAGTCCACATCTGTAGCGTTTGCATTTGTATTTCAATAGAGACAACATAGAGGTAGACAATTTTGTCAAAAATGTTGGCTGTTTGTTTAGTGCGTATTAAAATACACCTCCGTAGCCAGGCCTGCGCTCATCTTAATTCCTTGAGCAGAGATGGCCCAGCATGTGGTCCTCTGCCCTGCCCCCTCTCCAGGCCCCAGCTTGGCCAACCTGGCCCATCCTCTCTCCCACCCGCCATGGGGGTCATGCTTCCCAAGCTTCTGTAATCCTCTGCCTATCCTTGCTCACTATACCTGATTGGCTTATACATGCTTCAGTATATGTCCGAAGCCCAGCAAGAGGACCTGTATGACTATGTGGGCTGGGTATTACTGTTTCTAAGCCATTGCACTTATGGAACATTGGTTTATCTCACTGACATATTTCTCAACACTTGTCTAATCCTATATCTGTGTGCATCCTCTACCTGGAAGACATTTGCCTGTAGTAGAGATATAATCAAAACCACAGCACATTTTCTTCAGATGCCATGGTTATGCAAGTTCTGAGAATCTGGGGGTGTACTACAATTGACATGTGGGTGGCTGCTTTGAATATTAAAATCATACAGCAAGGAAATGTATTTTTAACTTCAACAAAGTTTAAAATGTCAAATATGATACACAAGTGGGATCTCTGCCATGAAACCTTTCATCTTGCCACCATTTTTGTCTTGCCCCACAAAGTGCTGCTATCTGCCTTGTGACAGGACTGATACTCATTCCCTGAACTGAGGAAGGGAGAATCATGCAAACCTGTTTTACAATGACAGTCAAATAAGGGTGTTGTATTTGCATGGATGGAGAATCGATGACTCGTTCTCTACTCAGCTATGGAGCTCCTTTGAATGGAGACAATCTGCATTTTGGATTGAGTCATCTGTACAGCAGGACAAAGCCAATCTACAG